GTTATGGGTACCCTATGTTATGAGGTGATGACATGTTTTGCAGGCAAAGAAGATGGGGAAGGTTGGGCAGGGAGTGAGCCATTCTCTGTCAGGTGTGCAGGGAGGGTTTCTAATGAGGTGACCTGTGAGCAGAGGCTGGTAGCTCGTGATGGAGTGAGCCAAGTAGAGGTACAGGAAAACGGCCTCCTGGAAAGGACAGAGAGCCCTGAGCCAGTGAAGTCCCTTAGGTGAGAAGCCATAGGGCACTGAGGGGCTGGAGCTGGGGGAGCCAGGAGGAAGTGCTTAGCAGACAGGCAGGTGGGAGATGGGACAGCCTAACATTAGGGCATGTTAGAGTTGAGATAGTAGTCCAGGTGAGATGGCCAACTGTTGGAAGTTTCTGGAAGATTACTAAGACTTATACTAAGGAGTCAGGAAAATGGGCCCAGTGCTTCCCTTACTTCCTAGAGCAAAGTTCATATGTCTCTTGTCATCAGGATTGAACTGTCCAAAGCTTAATTCACTCAGTGCAGACAGTGAAACAGAAATTGTAGTTTTGCTTGGCTTTGGTGCAAAAATCACTCATGCATTTCCAGTTGAGGTAAGTGGGAGTGCGCATGAGCCATTTATTTACTCAACTGGTGACAAGACTTTTCACAGAAATTTAACTACTGTAAGACATCCAGTGATCAGTTGTTCTTTTCTGGCCATATTTTGGTTCTGCTGTAGCTGCGGCAGAGGCCCCCAGCCTTATTACGTAGTTGCATGGGCTGGTGTGGGCTTCAGAGTCAAAGAGCAGCTGGTGGGATAGTTGGGATCAGAGGTGAGGAGGCTTCAGTAACTCGCTTTGCTCTCCTGAACACACAGAGCTGACTCCTGCCGTTTTCTACTCACCAAGGGCTTACCGTAGAGCCACAGAAGGCTTGGGTTTGATAAATGTGCTTCAGTTACAGGCAGTGCAATTTTGACCCTTTCTGAAGAATACCTTCCCCCAAATGAGGGTGATCAGTAACCAAAGTGGATCATGCCACGAAGCCAGTGTCCTCCCTCTGGATGTTTTGAAACAGGCGCTCCAGCACATCTCGAGAATGTTCCGAGTTGATACCTGCTTTGCACAGCGCCTTGGACTAGAATGACCTCTCAGATTCCTTCCAATGCAAAAGCCCTCTGAGCCCATGAAAAAGTGTCCAGTGAATGTGCTCGGCAAACATACAGACACTATATAAACACAAGGCAAATATTTTAAAAGGTGAAGAATGAGATACTTGTCCCTCTGTGAGAGCGGTGGTTGGAATTTTGTGCCCAGCAACATACCTTCCATGCTCAGTCGCCTGCAGTTTGTTCTCATTGGCCCCGTGCACAGGTATCTGCATTATGTGTTGAAAATGCACTCAGCCCAAGACCAAACAAATAGCCGGCAGCATTTTCCTATCAGGGCCTGTTTATAGGAGGTAGAGCAGAAGAACAAAGCTGTTGGTTTTGATTCTTGGCAGGAAGCCCATGCTGCTGCTTCAAAGCTCCAGAGTTTACAAGGAAGAAAGAAGAGGAATTTTTAGTTTACAGAGAAGAAAGAGGAGGAATTTTTAGCTGAGATTAAGTTAGACTTAAAGCAACAGAAGACTCAAACTAAAATTAAAGAATCCTTTGAGGGGCGGCACCTGTGGCTCAAAAGGGTAGGGCGCCCGGCCTCATATGCCAGAGGTGGTGGATTCAAACCCAGCCCCGGCTGGAAAAAAAAAAAAAAAGAATTCTCTTTGAGATCCATAATGGAAAGGCAGAGCTAAAACAGGGCAGGGGGTGGGGTGGGAGGTGGGGATATATTCTCAGGGCTCTCTGATGATTTATTTAGTGCATGAGTAAAAGTGTTTAAA